GGTCCCACTGCTGCATTTGTGGAGACAGAACCCCCCCCAGGAGCTCAGCACCCACCCTGTGCTGGGACTGGGGTCAGGAACGACCCCCCTTGGGAATGTTGATGCCCCATGGACTGCTCTGCCTTTCCCTGCTGTGGGAAGCAGGATCTCCCATTTTTTTTTCCTCCCTTCTGGAAGTCACTGAGTTGCAACAACTCAGTTTTTAAGCCCCCAAATGCTTTTCCCTGCCCTTGGCAGTGCCCTGAGCTCCTGAACGAGGAGCAACTGGAAAAGAGGGGCTTGGAAACCCAGTCCCAGGCAGGGGCTCCGGGCACCCTCTTGTCTGTCTGTCCATCCAGCCCGAGGCTGTCAGGAACTGGGTCCCTTCCAGCTCAGAATATTCTGTGATTCACTTTAATCTCAGCTCTTCATAAATTGGCTTTTAATTTCAGGAGCAGGTTCCCAGAGTGAGTCGGGTTGGGAAGGACTTTAAGGATCATCCAGTTCCCACCCCCTGCCACGGGCAGGGACACCTTCCACTAGACCAGGCTGCTCCAAGCTGGGCTTAAACCCTTCCAGGGATGGGGCAGCCAGGGCCTGAAACGTTGGCAGAGTCAAAGTGCTGCTCCTGTAGGGCAGGGCTGACAAAACCCCGACCCCAGAGAGTGGTTGGGGCTGAGCCTTGGGGGAAAAAAGCCTCTTGCAGGGAGATGTCCAGCAGTGCCTGTTGGGGAAGGCTCATTTCCCAACCTCCTCGTGCTGCTCAGGGACCCCCAGAGCTGGAGATGGGGGGCAGGGACACAAATTCCCAGTGACAATTCCCAGGGTGGCTTCTCCTGGTCCTTGGGGGGGTGATCCAGGCGGCTTTGGAGAGTTCCAGTCCAGGCTGGAACAAAAAAGGAGGGAGAGAGGGAAGGAAGGACTGGAGGGAAGGCTGGTGCTGCTCTCAGGGGTTTGGAGCAGGATCCATGTGCTGCCACACCAGGAGGATCCACCTGGGATCGCCCTGGGCTTGGCTTTGAGCCCAACAAAACCCTCCCCCTGTCCCAGAACTCAGCTCCAGAGCCCCCTTCCCACCCCGGGACTCCAACCCCCCGTGTAAATTTGAACATAACCCGGTGATTTTCTATCTCTCCAGCCCGATGTACATCAGTGACAATGTACAGAAGCTTTTTAACTACACTTGTATATTAAATTATTTAATAGTTTTTTTTTTTTTTTGCTTTTCAGTACCTTTTGTATTGTAACAGGGCTGAGAACGAGGCCCTGAGCCGAAGTTCTGCTCATTTCCAGTGTGTAAAGTTGAACAGCAAAACTAGAAGTTTACAAAAATAACTCTGTCAAAGTGCTTGGTCTGTTTGACTTGATTTGAACAAATTTCTAACCTGTCTTGTCCAATCATTTAATTTTCTCTCTCTCTCTCTCTCTCTCCAAACGAAGTGTTTTATGAGCTTCTAAAAAACACACACACACACACAAAAAAAAATTATTCTTCTAAAGATGTAATTTAGAGAAATGTACAGGTTTGGGGTTTTTTTTTTTTTGGTTGGTTGGTTTGTTTTTTCCTCTGGGTATTTTTAAAGGAGTAGCAGGAACTTTAACCCACCTAATCCCTGGTTGTAGATAGTGTAAAAAAAACTGATATATGTATAGAGACTGCAGTCTGGAGACGTGTTTTTGCCCCTTGTATCCCATTCCCTGCAGCAGGAATAGCAAAGGCCCAACCACCCCAGGCTGGGGCGTTCCAAAGAAATCAAATCAAAATAAAAATAAGAATAAAACCCATCAGGAGCAAAAAATCACCTGATAAACGAGGGCCTGAAGCTGCCTGAGCTCCCCTGCTCCCCTCCCCTGCCCTGATTTCATCCAGTTTTCCCAAATTCTGAAGGAACTGAGGGATGTCAGGGCTCCCTGAGCCCTCCAGCCCCGTTCCTGCCATGGACGGGGGGTGAAGGGAATCCTGGGGGGGTTGTTTTATGTTTGGCTGTGCAGAAAAAGGGGGAGCAAAGAGGCTGCAGTGCCCCCCGTCCCTGCCCCCCCCGTGTATTTAATGTCCCCCTGAGTGTCTGTGGGCCCCCAGGAGCAGGACAGGGACCCCCAGCCCCTGCTGCTCCCTGTACATACCCCTGGACCCCTGCAATGAGAGGGGGCCTGGCCCTGTCCCGCCGCCCCCTGGGCCCCCTCTCGTTTTCTATATTAGAAGAATTTTTAAATAAAGTGAAATTTTACTTCTTCTACCGCTTTGTAGAGTTGATTCCTTCAGCCCAGCCCCGTGGAGGTCGCTGCTGGGCCCACAACCCGGATTTTCCTACTTGGAAATGCAGGGAAGACGTGGCTGGAGCTGCTCTGGGGTTGCTGGAACGCCAGCAGGTGTCTGGGATAACACGAGGGCTCCCTGGATTCGTCAAACACCGGGAATTGTGAGTGTTTGGGGCCAGGACACGACTGTTATCCCTGCCCTGGATGGGGCTGTGTTTGATCTTCACCAGTGGATCAGTGGTTTCCCGGGAGAAATTTCCTCTCTGTGCCTTTTATCCCCGAATTTTCAAGCAGGTGTTTTTTTTTTTTACATTTTCAGCTTTTTAAAGTTGTCGGGGGTTTTTCGAGTTTGTTTTTTTAAGTTTAAAGAAAAAAAAAAACAAACCAGAAGAAAACTGCTGAATTCTTTCGAGAGTAAAACCTGGAAGGAACTAAAGGTACAAGGCTCAACTGCAGCCTGTCCTTTCCCAAAGCACCACCTGAGCTGCTGAGCTCCTCCATGGAACTTTCATCCGAGTGGGTTTTGCTCCAAAACCGAAAATTCCAGCCCGAATGGCAGCTTCCTTTTTGCTGGGAATGGGATTGGACTGCGCTGCCTCTGCCTCCTCTCCCTGGGAATCTGCACCTCCTTCCTCAGGGAAAAGAGCTGAGCTGTTGGCACCTTCTCCTCTTCGTCCTTCCCTCTGGAATCTCGGCAGCTCCTGCGGGAAACACCTGAAATCCTGTGGCTGCAGGTGCGAAGGTTTGATCCCGACAGATCCAGAGCCACATCCAGAGTCAGTTTTCCTTGTGTTTGGCTGTGTCGGGAGCTGCCAGGGCAAAACAAAGCTCCAAACCTGCTGCACAAGTGGCTGGAGATGGTTCTGCCACGCTCCCAGCTCATCCCACCTGGACTGGAACGTGGCAGGGAAAAGAGCTCTTCCCACCAACCACAGGGAGAAAAGTCAGGGAAGGAGTCTGGGCCTGACTTTACCTGAGTTTTAGGGAATCAAACCCAGCTCAAGCCCGTTGTGAAGCTCTCCTGGGAGAAGCAGGTGGAGATGCAGCAGCTCTGTGTGTGTTCCCTGGGGATTAAAGGATTCTTCCCAAGGATTCGGCCCTCCCTGGGTAACCAGGAGGTTTGGGATGGCCTGAGGTTCGGAGCCAGGGGGTTTCTGG